GGATAATATGTTGTAAAATGCACTATTTCTGAGACTTAAAATCTTTTTATTTTTCATGGCCTTACATCTCGATGATCAATCAAAGGGTTTTTCAACATTAATACTGCCTTTTCCGATGGATTTTTGAGGTGCATCCGTAGTTCAACATTATAAGGTTGCAACCTCATATAAACTTTTTCCTCTGTGTGTGTGTGTGTTGTTTTTTTTTTATCATATGCAACCCCGTTAGATGTATAAATGATCAAAATTTCACTAAAAAAATGATTTATAGAATAAAAATTAAAAATAAAATATTTTGAGCCATCATATCAGCTCAAGAACCAACTCTAATCAAATCGGATGGCTGAGAAGTGGAGTCGCATATAGTTTATGGGATTTTATACAATGTGACTATTTACCTTTGATGTAGAGAGTTTACAATTACTTATAACCATCCGATGTGAAATTTGATAGCTTAGGTGTGTCACAAAATTCGAAAAAAAAAATTTTGAAGTTTGACCTTGGTTAATGGAATAAATGCAGCCATCCAATTTCACATCAAATGGTCAAGATTGATGTGACCACCTTGAACCAAAAGTAAATGGTCTTATTGTATACTTTCCCTTAGTTTATATGTATGTCGGGTCACACATAAAGCTTTCCCTACGAGGGAAAATCCCTGCATGGATATACTATACACTATAATATATAGTATAATATGCATTGGTATATATACCCATGGATATATTTATGACTATAAATATTAATAGCAATATACAATAAAATTTTAGTATAATAACTAAAACTTGTGTTTTCTTAAGGCATCAATTATCAACTTGTGTACAAAATTACTATATATTCCATCATAGCTTGAAATTGCTTTAACAATGAATTAGATTTACAAAAATGTAACTTTTACATGTGATTTAGAGATTTTAAAAAATTCCAAAAGAACATGAATGCAAATTGAATATATTGGAGAGCACGAACACTATTTTTCCGCATAAGCATACTCTACATTTACTCCTCCGGAAAAAGGACATAGTTAGGAATTTCTGTATTTGAAACTAGGATCCATTAAAGTATAACTAAAATATTATTTTCAAAGAAAAAGATTGGATCTTGAATTATTAAACATCTAGATCCTTCTCTCGAAAATTTGGAAAGTTTGTATGCAATCTTGGGATGTGAATTTTTTTAAGGCATATGGCGAGTGACAATTATTTTATTTTTTTGCCTTCGACATTGGTTTCTTGGTTTTAGAGATTTCTTCCTTAAACTTAGAGATCTAAAAAATATCCCTAGAGTTTTGTCGAGGGATTAGATGGCTAGTAAACCGGGGAATAGGAAATGTTTTGTCTAAATTGATTAAGTTGTTTCTATTTAAACTTTTTGAAAAAGGGAAAAGCTTATATAAGGTTACAACCAAGTAAGGTAAGGAGCACCTAAAAAATCTAGTAGAAAAGAGTGTTCGGAATTCCTTTCAGATCATCATGACCTCGAGATATATGCTATAAGTAATAAGTAATTTAAGCTTTTCAAGTCCTAAAAGTAGTTCATCTTGTAACAAGTTATTTGGACCATATATTTTTAAGATTTTGAAGTGTTTATAGCTATGATCATTTTGCACCGTTTGCTGGATTTTAAATTCCAAAATTACGGTTGACCTTGGATTTTCAAGCCATCTCAAAATTTAGAGGCACGCCTTACAAAGTAGACACCTTATGCAAACCTCACCCTTTAATAAACTCCAACCTTTAAATGTGCCTTAATTTGTCTAGTAATTTTGAAGAGATTACTAGATAAATTAATTGGAAGAAGTGTCCTTAATTTGATTGTTTAGGGCCTCACCCATATACAATCTTTTTCCAAGTTAAAATGCTTCCAAGAAGCCTACAGAATGATCCTAATAGAATAGACTACTTCGCAATATTTTATAGATAAAAAACTTATTTCAATCATGTAAGTATTTAATAAAAGAAAAGAGTGAAATTTGGATTTCTAAAAGCCTATGGAGCGCACATAGGAGCAAACATGCAATCAATGGACTTTTGCATGTTCATATGATTAGTTATAACACTATAAATTTGTTGTGTACTATGCATTACAAAATAGATGAAATATATTTTCCTAACCAACCATCATCCAAATTTAAGAAATATTTAATAAATGACACTTGGACCCAAACCTAAGTGATGTTTTATATATGGGTTTTGTTAGGGTTCTCCTAGACATGGATTATATATTTAATTTACTCAACATTTTTGGACACTTGATGCCCTTGATTTGTAATACAAATTTTTCCAAGCTAAGGATTTTTTGGTCATTAGAAGAGGTAGAATGGATATTTCTATATGAAACCAGTGGCATTCTATTAGTGGTTAAAAAACAATTAATATTGTATGTAGGTAATATCACACATCATATTGATAATTCTGAATGCTTTTGTTTCTACTTTATCTTTGACTAATTACTTAAAATACCACTAGACAAAAAGTCACTACATTAAAGGGTAAAGGTATCAAGTGTTCAAAAATATTGAGTATATTAAGTATATAATCCATGTGTAGGAGTACTCTAACAAAACCCTTTATATATTATAGATTATCAATATGTCTATCTTATCAGCTTGGCCATTTTGTTTAGGATCATGTTTATCGGTATCTCTATTGCATCACTTGTATTTTACTCAAAAAAAGAAGTTGTTCTTTTTTTTTTCCTAATGAGGAAGTATATTCTATCTGTAGGACTGAAGCACATATGGTCAGCAAATTTGTGAGGCATGTTTCTATGGAGTTGGAGCGCAAAACACCACTACATGTTGCCACTCACCTTGTTGGGCTCGATTCTCGTGTTGATGTTGCCACTCACCTTGTTGGGCTCGATTCTCGTGTTGATGATGTGATGAGACACTTAGAAATTGATGCTAATGATGTTCAAATGATTGGGATCCATAGAATGGGTGGCATTGGTAAGACCACTCTTGCCAAGGAAGTGTTCGATTCCATGGCAGTTGTTTCCTCTCGGACGTTAGAGAGTTTTCAAAAACAAAAGGAGTTGTCAAATTACAGAGACAACTTCTTAAGGAACTTTTTGATCAAGTAGATCCAAGTATATATAATGTTGATAGAGGCATTAATGTTATAAAGAATAAGATCGGGTCGAAGAAAGTTCTTATTGTATTTGATGACATTGATGATGACAAACAACTCGAAAAATTAGCTAGTAACCGTGATTGGTATTGTCAAGGAAGTAGAATTATCATCACTAGCTGGGATGAGCATGTATTGAATGCGCATAATAGAGTAGACAATAATCATATCTACAAGCTCAAGGGATTGGATCAAATACAATCTCTTGAACTCTTTAGTTGGTGCGCATTCCATAGGAATCAACCAACACAAAAATATATGCAAGTCTCTAAGGATGTGATATCCACTACCGGTGGACTTCCTTTGGCTCTTGAAGTTTTGGGACATTACTTACGCGATAAGACAACCGTTGATGAGTGGAAAGACGCAATAATGAAGTTAAAAAAGAGTTGTTGAAGATGATGTCATGCAAAAGCTTAAAATAAGTTACGATAATTTGAGTGAAGAAGAGAAGGATATATTTCTTGATATTGCATACTTCTTTATTCATGAAAAAAGAGATTATATGATTGATATATGGAAAGGTTGTGGTTTCCCTGCTTCACTTTCTATGAAAAAACTCTTGCAAAGGTCATTTTTAAAGATTAATAATTATGATAGATTGTGGATGCACGACCAACTTCGTGATATGGGGAGACGGATTGTTGAACTAGAAAACCTAGATGATCATGGAGAGCATAGTAGGTTATGGTTTGATACAGATGTCATTACTGTGTTGAAGAATCACAAGGTGAGAAATTCCTAAACCAAGATCATTTTGCTCTTGTTAGAGAAATCCTTTAATGAGTTATTTAATTGGCGTCAATTTAATTTTGTTTGATCAACATGATAGAGTTAGATAGTCTTGTTTTTAAGCATCTTGTTGACAAGCTGACATCTACTTCTATTATCAATTAGGGAACTCGTAAGGTTCGAGGCGTAATGATCAGGGGGAATGAACAGGAGAAGATTTGGGAAACTGAAGCATTTAAACCAATGATCAATTTGAAGCTACTCAGCATCAGTCAAGCTTGTCTTAGAGGAAGCTTGAAAGATATGTCATCAGAATTAGTGCGGCTACAACTGAGCGATCACCAGTTACAGTACCTCCCAAAAGATTGTAGCCATGAAAAGCTAGTTGTCCTTGACTTGTCAAACAGTGATTCTGTCCATGACCTGCCGAAGAACAACATCAAGGTGTGGAATTTATATTTAATGTCGTCTCGTGCCATTTTTTTCCCCTTGCATATTTGCAACCTATCATGGTTGTTATCCTTTGTATTCTTTACCAACCAATTTTTTTTTTTTTGTTGCACGGCTCTTCCCAAAGTTGAACGTTCTTGATCTTAGTCATTGCCGTAACTTAAGGCAGAATTCCTGACTGTTCTTTACATGAGCTTGAAGAGGTTGATTCTTGAAGGTTGTAAAAACTTGGTTGAGATTCCCGACTCCATAGGCCTTTTTAAGGAATTTAGTTTATCTGAATCTTCGGGGATGCCCCAACCTCAAGAAACTGCCAGATATGCTAGGCTTACTAGTGAATCTTGAGGAGTTGGATGTGAGTGGCGGCAGTTGGAGAGTCCCACCTCTAGTAGGCACGACGAGTTCCGAGGTCGGGTATGAACAATTACAAGAGCTCCCAGAGAACTTTGGAAATCTTACAAGTTTAAGGACTCTCAATTTAAGCTACAACTCCAATTTGACAAAGCTCCCATATACTTTCTCACGTCTTTGCTCCTTGGAGGAATTGTTTGCAAGGGATTGTAGCCTGCAGGGGGTGATTGATGATGACTTTGAAAAGTTGTCCAAATTGAAAAAGTTGGATCTCTATGGCAACAAGAATATCCAAGGCGTGCCTAGGAGCATGAAGGGCCTTTCTCAATTAAAAGAGATAAATATAACTTATTGTACGCAGCTCGTAACTATACCCGAGCTCCCCACAAGTTTGGAATGTCTGGAAGCTGGTGGCTGCTCAAAGGTGCAAACCATGCTGGAGTTATCTCCTCTTTCTCACCTAAAAATACTGGAATTAGCATCTTTTGAGCAGCTGATGACTATTCCTGAGCTCCCCACCAGTTTGAAATATTTGAGTGCTTCTGGATGCATAAGTTTGAAAACTTTGCCTCAGTTATCTCACATTTCTGAACTAGAAGAACTAGACATAAGTGGTTGTGAGCAGCTGCTAGCTATCCCTGAGCTTCCCACCAGTTTGCAAGTTCTGAAAGCTTGTGGATGCCACAGTTTGCAGACCTTACCCAAGTTGTCTCACCTTTTGGAACTAAGAGAGCTAGGTTTAAATTCTCGTAATCATCTAATTGATATCCCTGAGCTTTCCACCAGTTTGATATATCTGAACGCTTTCAATTGGAGAAGTTTGCAAACCTTGCCCAAACTATCTCAACTTTCTAAACTGGAAGTATTGGATATTTCTTACTGTGTAAAGCTGTTAGCCATTAAGGATCTTCCCACCACTTTGAAAGCTTTAAGGGCTCCCAACTGCATATTGTTACAAGCTATACTCAACCTCTCTCACCTTCTCAACTTCAAAACTTGAATCTCACAAACTGTAAGGGATTGATTGAGACACAGGGCCTCAGTGGGTTGAAATCTTTGAAGCAATTGCACTTGAATGGGTGCAGGCCTCATGCTTTGAGGGATCAAAGGCTAGCAAAGGTACGTTACTTTGCCAAAAAAAAACACCTCCTGATATTTGGTTTTTGAGTGACCTTTATATATGTGACTGCTAATTATTTATTCGTTGTATTGTTTTGTTTATATATATATATATATATATATATATAGGAAACATTTGCAGGTTTAGATCGCTTAAGTGTTCCTGGAAGCAAGGTTCCAAATTGGTTCAAGAGTAAGTGGACGATGCAGGACAGCGGGAATCCATATTGGCCCTCTCTGTCATACAGAGTGTCGGGGGCTCCAGATGAAGGCATTTGTGTTAGAGGAGTGATGGTGTGCTTTGTTGCTCATTTTTCTTGCACTCACAATTCCCATTGCATGGAATTATTGATGAAGAGCGAATATGGAGTAGATTGTAATACGGAAGTGTTTTACATTTATCCAGGGAGCCACCAACATGACATTTATTTTTACCATTTACAACGTGGCCAAACTCTTAATCTCCCCAGCCGGTTGAAAAATGGGGATGAAGTTGCACTTGTAAAAAGAAAATTTGAGGGTGAAATTGAAGCCGACTGCAATTATTTGATGGAGGCAGGATTCCATCTTGTATTTGAATCAGAAGATACCGACGATTCCATTCCAAAAGATAGTGAAGATTCCATATCAGAAAAATTGGCTTTCTTTAATTCATTGTTTGTTCAATGACAATTTGCAACGACAGAATATGGTAAGGTACCAATAATTACTTTTTGGTTTAGATTGCCAAACTATGCTCTCTTCTCATATAACAGATGGATTCACAAATCACTTCAAATATCAGCGGCCTTTTTGTTCTATGGTTTTCAGTGAAATACATGTTTTTGCCTCTTTCCAGTCTTTTGATTCCCAAATGCTTCCCATAGATGAAAACTTGCTAAAAAATTTTATCTCGAGTCTCGAGTTACCCTAATTTATATTTGAACTGAAAAAATCTAGATCTCTCTCTCTCTCTCTCTCTCTCTCTCTCTCTCTCTCTCTCTCTCGTCTCGTCGTCGTCGTCTACGTACGTCGTTACGTACGTTACGTTCGTTACGTTCGTTACGTTACGTTA